CCTTAGTTCCCCAAGTTGTTTAATCAGTTGTACATTGCATAAAACACTAAAATACCCACATAAAATATAAAAATAATATAATTAAACATAAAAATAACACGAAAATAAGACACAAATTTGATAGACATCAAGGCCTATAGGGGCATCCCCCAGGTCTCCAACCTCTAGCATGCAAAGTACTGGCATGAGTAAAAGAAGAAAAAAAATAATCTCAAATTTTCTTTCCTGTATTTTTAAACAAAAATTAAAAATACATAGGGTGTAGCCTTTTCTATAGGTATATTAGGGGAAGAAAAAAAATAAGGGGTGGCATTAGGTGCCAAAGCAAATCCATTGATTAGAGAAATCACCTAGATAAAAGATGTCAGATACGCAGGCTAATTAACTTCCTTGTGAGATGATCTCGCCATCTTAGCTCTCCTACAAGCAGTTTTGGAATGTTGGGGATTGTAAAGGAGCTCTTGCATCATATGCTTCAAAGTTTAAGTAATGCAGGGAAGGAACTCTTGATCAACAACTGCGTCCCTCCCTCTCAAGGAGAGCACATCATGCTCGATTTTCTTAGTAAGAAAGTGAGTGAAATCATCATAAAGATAGACCATCAATTTTGAAGGATTGGATTGGTGAGCATGAACTAGGCGCCTTCGAGAAATTGGGCCACACGTAAGAGCTAAAGGCCTAGAGGACATAGGGCCATGAGCAAAAGTCATGCTCCTAGGAGAACCCGAATCATGAGTTGAAGGAATAGTCTCATCGGAAGCCACACCACATATGGCGGCTATCAGTTTGGGAGGGGAAGAAGTGACTACGGAGAAATTGACCTCCTAGCTATCCAACAAGGGATATGGTTAGGATAGTCAGCAAGAACATGGAACTTGGTCGAGCTCATAAGTATTGTTATAACCTCACAGATAGGCTCCTTAATAGTAGCATTCTCTGAGGGCCTCTGTTGAACACATAGCTGCACTTTTAGCTCCCTCCTAGCCCATGAATATAAGGCCCCTTATCGAGGCATCTTCATGATAACTAAAATAAATAATCAACCCCACATAGGTGTTACTACTAGGGGTGAACATTCAATCATTTTGGATGGATTGATTTTCAAATTTGTCAAACCAATTTGAAAAAAAGAACCAATCAAAATTTTATAAGACTTAACGAACCAAACTGAAATTTAATTGACTTTAAACAATATAGTTTTGAACAAACTTAAATTTACATATTAGTTGAATAAACATCAAGAATTACATATATTACAATAAATTGTCGATTAAGTATCATAAATCTTCCATTTGATTTTGAATATTGATTTTTTTGTTTCTTCGATTAATTGATACACAAAATCAGACCAATAACCAAAAACCAAATATTGAGGTTTTAAAAATCAAAAACCCAAAATACATTTTTAAAAGAGACCGAATCAACCAAACTTGTTTGTTGGTTTGATTTTAGTTTAGACCAAATAATGCACACCTCTAGGTACTACCAAAAAACTTAGTCCTCACACAGAAGACATAGACAATAATAATAATAATAATAATCAAAACCCCCTCATAGGTTGCAATCATCAGAATGTATATTTTGGCCCAGTATCCAAAATGGAAAACAAAACAATGAAAATTAAAAGAAAATTCCTTTTTCTCTCTCGCAAAAAAAGGGGAGGAACGTTTAAAGCCCATCACTCAAGTACTCATCATCACTGTTATCTTTGTTATCACCACCACATGTCCCATTATGCTTGACCTCCAACAAGTATGTGTACTTGGGAGGTGGGGCACGACTAACCCTAGCGCTGCCCATGAGCTGATCCGGAGACTAGATCAGCCAAGCAAACTAACTACCTTGTTGGTCTCTCATGTGGCATACTGGCAGTTGAGAAGGTGTTTTTCGGTCGACTAAGGCTATGACAATTTAGAGGTTCTCGAATTGCTCAATAATGGAGTGGGTTCGATGGTCTTCACATTTCCAATAAAAACAACATGGTAAGCCAAAATGCTAGCCCTTGTGGTGGGCTGCATGAGGCCCACCTGTACCCGACTCCAACGAAAAAAACAAAGATCTGAGAAGGATGACTGATGTCGGTTGTAGTACTCCCATGGACCATATAGAGTATGGACAAATCCTTAATGCAAACAACGCCATTCATGTAGTCATGCTCGATGACACAGTTAAGTGCAACACGCTACTTGGTCACCACACTCACATTCAGGCTCAATAACAACCTGACCAATACAAAGAAATGATAGGTCGATGACTCTCAGTCGAGGGCACCCTTGGGAAAGATGATGGGGTGCCCCTCAGACTCCATAGGCCAAGTGCTACCGATCCCTGTAGTGAGGAACTGGAAGATCTTGTCATAATCAGATCCATCGTTCATAAACTCAAATAATGTATCCTTAATGTGCCTATCTAAGTTGTATATGTCATTGATCATTTTCTGATTGAACAACACCCAACATTCCCTAACATATAACTTATTGTCCGAGGGCTCCCAATTGTTTTCCACGAATTCTCGGACGATGAAAATAATAGCTAGGTCAGTATTCCATGCAAAATTCATCTAACCCCTCATCGTAATGGTGGCAGTAACACCACCTCCTAGCGAGAAACTGCACTCAAGAATGACATTCCTGTAGCAGAGGTTATCCTCATACCTACGAGCAACCTCGCGACTCACGAATCGAGACTTGTCAAATCTTTCCTCCAACAACAATAGCCTTTGGCTTCTCCTTAGAGGCATCATTGAAAAGATAGAAGGCTCTTAAGGCTGAAATAACACCAATTGGCCCTTGAAAATGTAAAGCTCATTGAGTTTAGAACATTGATTGGAATTTTCAATTATAAGGTTATGTCTATTGATCTTAAAAATACAGGTTCCACTTACGAGCAAGTCATGAACCAAATCTTCAACAAGCTTACTCATGATCATGTGAAGTGCTATGTCGAATATCTATTAATCAAATAAAAAGAAAAGGAAGATTGTTAAAATGATATGATTCATTTTCAAACATTTGCATCACTACGACCTAGAAAATGAACCCATTAAAGTGTGTCTTCAGGGTTACTTCGGTTAAATTTTTAGTATTCGTTGTGAGGCACAATAGGATAGAGATTTATCATGATAAGATTAAGGCTATCTTAGAAATATAACCTCCTAAAATTTTGATGCAATTGAGCTTCCAAGGCAGGTTGGTGAATCAATGAAGCTTTATTTCAAATGTTTGATGGGTGTAAGCCGTTTGTATAATTAATTAAAAATGATTCCAAATTCATTTGGGTGATAAATGTTAATGTACATACAATAACATTAAAAAATATCTGATGTCACATCTAGTGTTGGTTGCCCCTATCCCAGAAAAGTCATTGATCTTATATACCACTACATTGGATATTCCCGTAGATCCTTGCATGCTAAAGCCAACAAAGATGACAATGAGAATGAACTTCATAATTGATTCACTGGCTCATCCCGATGGAAGTCAAATACCCTCCTATCAAAAAACACAAATTAAAAATACTCTTCACGACCAAGAACCCAAGGAATTTCATGTTTTCGCTGCAGGTGAATTTGTTTCCAAGGTCAATCTTCTACAATATTATAGTTTGACACTATATATATTCTCTTGCGTGCTGTAAAAGGCCAGGCTCTCGCTTAACTTCTTAGCAGCACATGTATTTTCTGCTGGCTCATCTTTAAACGACCTTCCTTATGAACATGTTATGAGTTTAGAAGGTCTAGTTAAGCCTTATTACCAGTATATCATGAAGCTTCTTGTGCAAATTTTGACTAACTTTGTATCAGATTCCCCATAGCAAAAATGTTGTAGCGGATGCTCTGGCCAAACTAGCGAAGGAATTTACAGGAATTTACCTGTCCTGAGTACTCCATTTCCATAGAGTGCAAAACGTATAGTTTCTCTCTCCCATCAATTTAAAATACATGAACTATCCTGAATTCAAGGCATAAATTGCCTTTATCGAAGATGACTAATTGGAAACAACCTTTAATTGATCAACTCCAATATGACAAACTCCCGACTGACAAGTTTCTTACACATCAACTTAGGTAAAGAGCCATGTCTTATACCCTACTTGATGATATTTTGGACAATCAATCATTCAACCAAATATGGTTACGTTGCCTGAGCAAACACGTAGCCCAAAAGATGACAGCCAAGTAACATGCCAGGTTGTGTGGTGCTTACTATTCCAGATCAGAAATGAAAGTGAAATTAAAGTGATTGGGGTACTATTGGGTGTTAATGAGGATGATTTCATGTCTATAGCACATCATTTTTATCAATGCCAAATGCATGTTATGTTTTTTTTTTTGCATCAGCAGCCCAATATTTCACATCCCATGGTAGCCTTGTGGCCTTTGTAAGACAAAAAAATTATTCTCCATATAAAAGTTTAGAGAGTCACGAAAAAAAAAACAATTTTTGTTCTAAAGAAGAATATTTTCATGAAGCAGCTACAGCAGAAAGGTATGACGAGAGAAACGAAGGGTTGAAGATGCAAACAAATGAGAATTTCTGATATTGTCCAATGTGCACAGTACTGGTTAGGAGGTTCAGCTGCCGATTTTCTCCAAGGCCTCGTAAAACTGATTGGTAATAATAAAAAAAACAAATTTGCAACGCCATAAAATTCACTAGAGCACATTGTCTGTTTGACTGAAAACATAAATAAATAAATAAATAAAGAGATTTCAAATTTTATGAACCACTTAGAATTCTACTTCAAATGCAAAATAAATGAAGCGAAATTAGAGGTTGAAATTACCAGATGCGAAATTCACAAAGGAAATATTATTTTCACCCAAGCAAATGAACATATTATACTTAATGAAGTTTACATACATACCACACAATTCTTATGAATTTATATATCTAACACTTAAAATTTTGTAATTACATTTATAACACTTCGGTGTTAAAACACTATGCATGAACAAATGTATCAGTTTTTTAAAAAGATAGAACTAATGGTATATTTTATATCATGTTAATGATTTGAATGGTATGTGGGTAAATATGAAAATTTGGGTGTTAGATATGTAGATATACAGGAATATTGTGTTACTTATGTAAATGCACCTTATAATTATCAACCTTAACATATTATAAAATATAGTGTGGGTCTCTACCTTATCATGCATAAAACCCCTTATAATACAAGCCACATAAGCATATAACGACTCAATTTAATAGGTGTAAGAACCATAGCTCACAATTCATAAATTACTTCCAATGAAACAAAATAATTAAATTTATTTTAAAACTAGAGTTTCAAAACTATCCAACCAAATGATAAAAATAATAAGAAAATCCATGTTTTTTACTACATCACAAATATTGCCCCAGCAACAAAATTTTTTGTTAAGTTATCTCACTTACTATTATTTTTATTTGAAGAAAGGTCACTCACTTATAAAACAAGGCATTCTAAACAAAATCAATTCAAATCTTCCATTCTCAATATCCTTCTCCTTGTCAACATTAACTTCAAACTGGAATGGGCTCTCCTGCTTCTTCAGTAAAATTTTTAGCAAAACTAACCAAATATGATAGAATTTGGGCTTATTACTACCACCGTTCGCATCATTTAGATTTCTAAGAGGTTTTCGACTTTCATCACCGGCGAAACTAATTAAGTTCGAAGAACAAAAGTCCTGATAATGGAGAGGAACAGGGATATGATTTATGCTTATCTGATTGTAGCATTTGTGTACCATTTCTGCTGTTATACTTCCAAATAAGATTGTTGCAGCTCTGTCCTTCACAAGCAAAGGTATGAGGGCAGCATGGTCCCACACATGCAGCTGCAGAATGGGCAGATATATCATAAGGTCCAAATTATGAAGTAGTGTTTGGAATCATATGAAGGATATGGTATTGGTCATAAAAGAGATTGAAATCAAATTGAACTGAAGGAGCAAATATTACATGTGGAAAAATGTGAGTTCTTAGCACAACAAAAACCACCAATAAATGACTCTCTATACAAGTTTAGGATCTTTTTGAGATCATTTTATTTCTTTGTTTTTATTTTTTTAAAGACATAAAAATATAAAGAAAAAATAAATTACTTCAAGTTTTTTTAATCATTTTATTCTATACTTATATTTAAATTAATGCAACTTTTTTGTGTTCTTCTTTTTTTGGTTTATTTTTCTTTATATGTTGTTAATTGCTCCATGGGAGTGTTTGCAGACATGATTGTTTGAGTTAATTGCAACTTTCTACAACTCTTACCTTTATAAAAAGATAAAAATATAATTTATTTATTCTTATTGTGCTATATATAATAAATTTTAGAATTTAGTCTTGTTCTCTTTTTTCTGTTTTTTTTTCAATGTAGAGGAATATTTTCAAACTATGGAGAATTGAAGATTATATATTTTTTAAAAATTTGTGATGTAATTGTAAATTGTAATGTTTCATTTATATGCTGTCAAATTTAGATTTTATATTTAATTTTGTATTTTAAATTTAAGTTTTATATTATAATCAAGAAAAGTGTTTTTGTTGTCGTTGAATTTAAGCCTTAATTTTAAATTTGTACTTGAAATGTTTCACTTCAATAAATAAACTTCTTTATCACTTGAATAATTATTTTTTTATTAGTTACATCATAATTTTTAATTATTTCGTCAAATAAATAATTAAAAATATTTTTTTATAATTTAAAAAAACTCATTTCCAGCAAAACACAAGCCTAAAACGAACAAACTAAACACAAACACACTGTTCACAAACAATTTCAAACACGAGTCTATTTCGAACAACTTATAAATCAAACAAGCCGAACACGAATAGGGCTTGGACTCTCTGATGTTCATCTCGTTTACAGTCCTTTTTCCAACTCCTCTTCCTGCTATTGTCCATCTTTCTAGTCTATCACAATCCAACCCGGTGAGCTTGAAATTACCAAGACGAGAAATGATGATCGTATTGAGAAAACCTATCTAATAATTTAATTTCATCACAAAAATAAAAACCCAAAACATAAAAGAGTTATTCTAGTTATAACACTTATATTTACAACAAATTGTTCATATTTAAACATTCACATTTAAACAAAAAATAAACTAACAATACCTATCAGCTTGCACTCCACAGTGCATGTATAGGTACTCATTGGGGTTCATCTAATCTACAAATGATTTTCCTGTAAAAATATTAGCAACTATAGTTTCAGTTAAAACTACTCAGTGGATAAATATTTTTTAAATTAAAATAATTGTCATTTTAATATATTTTATAAACAATTAGTAAAAGTAAAAGGTTGTGCAGTAAAAGAGAACAGTAACAAATAATAATTTCATTTCCTTTCATTTACTTAGGTTACACTTTTCACAATTGGGAGTCACCATTTAAATGTATGTTTTATAAAAATATACGTTTAAACTTTTCCAACCCATCATAAAGTTAGACAACCTTGTCATTTTTCATTTCTATTCTATTTTCATTTCTTGCAAGGGTACATTGCAATCCTCTGCTACTACCATCCAGGACTTGCATTTAGCATTTAATATTTAAAAGGAAAGATAGACTTTTGCATTTTAAAAATAAAAGTAGGGAAATAATAAAAACATGCGTAAATCAACAGAACTATTGTAAAATAAAAATATATTACTCATCTCAAGAGTGTTGTCTGCTATCATTTTCTTCAAATCAGTCAAGCCCTTAGGTGCACCTATAATAACCCTATAATAACAATTTAAATGTAATTAACTTCGTGTTCAGTGTTAATCTTCTCTTCTATTGCTTCCAGATTTTTTATCATTACTTCCATAATATACCTATTTAATTAGCTATTTCTTTATCTATAAATATATATGAATATACACATATATGTATATGTTAGGGGTGTTAATTCAGGTCGACGGGTTGGATTCTGGTCTGACCCAAATTGGGTCAAGTTGAACCCGACCCGAATAATAAACTGGTCAAACTCTGACCCGATTCCGACTCGAAAAATATTTTGGTCAAACTGAACCCGAATTTTTGAGTCGAGTTCAAGTCGTGTTGGTGTGTCGGGTCATTTTTTATTAGCTCAATATATATACATATACATACATACATACATCCATATATGCATATATAGATCCATATATGCATATAGATATATATATATATGAAAAATTACCTACTCTCTGACACTGATCACAAGTTCATATATATATATATATATATGAATATCTGATTTAATTTTTATCTTAAAGCTTCTAAAATTTTCCTATTTGCGTACCCAAATTAATAACAATGTAATTATAAATATTTTAAATAAGGATTCTTAATTTCCTCTTTAACATTACATAATAAGAAAAATATTAATTAATTCTAGCAATTTAACTTTATACATGAAGTTTTCCTCTCCCTTTTTCTGCCTTAGCTTCTCCCCAATCACCTAAAATGGTAAGAATCAATATTAGAAATTTTTTGAAAAATAATTAAATTTATTAAGAATTACATCTCATCACTTAATTTAAATCAATTACAATTTATGACTTAAATAAATTTAATATATTACCTTTTTAAACCCTCTGCCTGCCCTACTAAAGGAACTGAGCCTCGCCCGGTAGAGCTCTCCCGCATGCAGAGCTCCCGCGAGCTCGAGCCCTCTTCCTTCTCCTTCTTCTACGAGACGTATGACATGGAGAGCCCGCCTCCTCCTTTCTCTTTGAGTCACATGACAGGGTTCTCTCCTCTTGCTCAAGTAAGGCTTTTCCAGCCTTCCAAATGCCCAAACGAGTTTCCCCTTGCTCGCGACACTCGATAGAGCCTGCTCGAGCCCTCCAGGTACCTAATCGAGCTTCTTCCTCCGCTCGCCTATTGCTCATAGCATTCGACAAAGTCGTTGGAGCTCTCTTCCCTTCGATTCGATCGCAAAAATGGAAGGAAATGATAGTAACTGGTGAGTCTCTCATCTCCTTCTCCTGCGTCTTTTTCTTCTCCCTTTACTATAGCTGCTGCTACTTCAACTTCTTCCTTCTCCTTTACCTCACTCACTCTCTCTCTCTCTCTCTCTCTCTCTCTCTCTCTCTCACATTCCCCATATATCTCTCGCACTCTCCTTCGCTCTATGTGGGTGTGAGGTCAAATGAGAGCAGACGAGGAATAAACCATGTCTTAGACTCTGTTTGGCGCGGTTGTAGATTATTTATAATCTGCTGATAAGCAGATTATTCTGATAATCTGATAATCTGTAGATTATCAGAATAATCTGGCTTGTTGTTTTGGACAGCTTATTCAGACTAACTTATTGGTGATTAAAGGTGGTTAAATGACATTCCTGCCCCTGTTTGATACAACTTTTTGGGGCAGCTTATTCAGAATAGCTTATTGGTAGAAAAGAAACATATAGTGCAGAAATATATAGTGCAGAAATATACGATAATGACAGAGATGTTCTAAAAGATACCATACAGTTCTCACATCCTAACGAGTACCAAGAGAACTAAAAAAAATACAAATACAAGTATAACAACAAGGAGAAATATTAAAATATTTAACTTAAGATTCTAGCTACTTCGGTCCTCAACTGCACTGTCAGCCTGAGAAAACATCAGATTCGCATGACTGTTGGCATGATTACTTGCATGATTACTTTTGGCATGATTACTTGCAGTGTAATATGTGGGACTATCAACCCACCGGAAGAAACCGCAACGAGCTGAAACACCTTTGGCACAACCATAAAACTACCTCCCAAAGTTATGCTCCTTATGTGACGTTAGCAACGGAGACGGTAGTCCAAAATAACACAAAATCTCTCTGTCGGGATCCTGAATTCCGTGAGGTATTTTT